AAGCATTTATATAAGCTATATAATAAGCAGAAAGGTATAAGTCACTCCATCAGTACAGCAAACGGAAGAAAAGTGCAGTACCCATAAAATAAGCAGGCATAAAATATTATTTAAAACATTATGTATGCTGTAGGAAAGGTGTGTAAAGAGCTTATCAAGAAGTGGGGAGGTGCAGCAGTCATCCTGGGGCAGGGTTTCTGCTGGCCTCAGACGACCTTGTAATAGCAGCTTTTAAATTCTTACCTAATAACTATTATCTGGGACATCTCAAGGCTGGCATCTGTTGACACACAGTGTCATTTTTCATATATTTACTTTTATGTATCATTACATTTAGAATTTATGCTGAACATTTTAGGTTTTTTCCTCTACATTTCTTTTGCTCACTGCTTCAGTAATTCGCTTATGTTGTCTTATGCTGTCACTTATGTCTGTCTGTACTTTTTTCTTTTTATTGCCTTGTAAATCACTGCAAAAGAATTACTCAATTTGTTTACTCTTTAACTGATGGATGTTAGGATTATAAATGCATGAAGAATATTATGAATAAGGTTGCTGTGAACATAGTTATTTTTTTGTGAAAAAAGCTTTTCATTTCTTTTAGATCAATTCCTACAAATGGTTTTTATCAGGGTCACTTGCTTAATTTTCCAAGAAACTGCTACACAGTTCTTCAAATTGATTTAATAGCAATGCAAGAGTGCACGAGTTTCAAGTGTTCAACATTCTCACCAACTTTCTGTCAATCTATCCCCTACCCCATCAGTTTTTTGACTATAGCCATTTTATTGGTTTTAGCTGCTGTCAAGTCAACTCCAACTCATAGTCTATGAGAAACAGATCAGAACCTTGCCCTATCCTATGTCATCCTCAAGGTCTCTCCACCATGGCTATCATCACTGTGCCCACCCACCTGTTGAGGGTCTTCTCTTTTGCCCACAGTCTGCTAGTCCCAATATAGTTATCTTTTTCTACGGATTGGCCTCTCCTGATCACATGCTCAAAATAGCTGAACTGAAATTTCATTCTTTGCCTTTAAGGAGCACCCTAGTTACTTTTTCTCCAAGATAGATGTTTGCATTTTTGGCTCTTGTTGTTAGGTGTCATCAAGTATGACTCATAGTGGCCTTTTGAACAACAGACCTGCATCCTGCCCCATCCTCATCATCTCTGACACATATGAGCCCATTCCTGCAGTCACTATGTCAATCTATCTCATTGGGGGTTTTCTCATTTGTTGACCCTCCCATTTTTCTAAGCATAATGTTCCTTTCCAAGGAAAAGCCTCCCCTGGCTACATGTCCAAAGTACAAGATGAAGATTCACCATCGTTCCATTCAAGGAAAATTGACTATACTTCCTCTAAGACAAATTTGAATGGTAAACAGACACATGAAGAAATGCTCCAAATCACTGGCAATAAGAGAGATGCAGGTACCATCTCACTCCCGTAACAGTGGCAAAGTTTAACAGGGCAGCAAGTAATAAATGTTGGAGAGGATGTGGTGAGAAAGGAACTCACATACATTGTTGGTGAAATTGTAAAATGGTACAACTATTCTGGAAGACAGTTTGGAACTTCCTCAAAAACCTGAACAAAGACATTCCATATGACCCAGCTATTCTACTACTTGGAAAATACCCTTGGAGAATATGAGAACTGAGGCACAAATGGAGATTTGTACACCAATGTTCATAGCACCATTATTCACCATTGCAAGAACATGGAAACAGCCTTAATGTCCAACCACAAATGAATGGATTGAGAAATTATGGTGTATTCACACAATGGAATAGTACATAGCACGCAGGAGCAATGATTTTATAAATTATTACCTAATGGGAGAGATTGGAGAGCATTGTGCTGAGTGAACTCAGTCCCACAAGGATAAATATTGTATAAAATAATTATTTTAGAATGAGTATAAGGATCAAAGAGGGGTGGGAGAGGGTGGAAGCAGAGGGATGAGGATGTGTAAGGGGAAGGGGATTAATAATGGGGTTGTACAATTTGATGGGTGGGGAAGGTGAGGGAAATGGAAAGAATTTGTTCTTGAAAACAATGTATTCAAATTTTGTAAATAAACTAGTAGAAGAAAAAAAAAACAAAACCAAACCCAACCACCTGGGTACCATGGGTATAACCACCACCATGGGTAACCCTTGTGGCATTTGACACATTGATCTCATCGCAGCAACCTACAAATTATCTTAGTACAGCAAAGTAACAGATAGGTGCTGTAACAATTAGAACAATGAGTTCTCCAAAGACAAGAAACTGACAACTTAGTTTGTACCTCTAATAGCAAGGTAGTCTTCAGCCCAGGCCCTCACCCGTTGGCTATAACCAACTGTTAATCACAAAGGTCCATCCACCGAGATCTAACTGGTTTAAACAAGAGGAGCTCAACCCACAAATGCCTGTTAATTAAATAAAAAAGACCTACCTTTCCGATTGCAACTGGTTCAAACAAGAGGATCCCAGCCCCCAAATGACTGTTACTCAAATCAAGAAGACCTATCTTTTAGATTCCAACAGCTTTAAATAAAAGGCTCCAGCCCCCAACTATTAATCAAATTAAATAAGTAACTTATCAGCAGGAGCAATGGCAATGAAGGAGGAAGCTGAAGCTGTGAAGACACTGGCAAAAAAACAAGGCCCCATGAATCAATAGAATTGATTTGTTCCAATTAACAGATGCAGCCTAGGATGTGCTCACTGGTCTATGCTAGGAAATTTGGAGGACAGCTGTCAAGCCAACAGATTAGAAGAGGTTTATATTTGTTTCCATTCACAAAAGAGGTGACCGAAGTGAATGTGGAAACTATTAAACAATATTATTAATGTCATATGCAAGCAAAATACTGATGAAGATCATTAAAGCTTGGCTAGAACAGTACATAGATAGGGAACTGAAAAAAGTTCAAGCAGGATTTAGAAGAGGTCATGGCATCAAGGATATCATTGCTGATGTTAGATGGATCGTCGCTGAAAAGAAATTCCGGAAGAATGTCTATACTTTATTGACAATGCAAAGGCATTTTTGTGGATCATAAAGTTACGGCTAATAATGAGAAGAATGGGAATTCCAGAGCACTTAACTGTCCTCATGCAAAGCCAATACCTAGACCAAGAGGCTGTTGTGCAAACAATAAAAGGTACACAGCATAGTTTAAAATTAAGAAGGTAGTGTGTCAGGATTGTATTCTCTCTCCATACCTATTCAATCTGTATTCTGAGAAAATTATTCAAGAAGCTGGACTCTATGAAGAACATACAGCATCAAGTCTCGAGTCTTTGGAGGAAAACTCATCAATAATCTTTGTTATGCATATGAAAAAACCTTGCTTGTTGAAAGTGAGGAGAATTTGAAGCACTTATTACAGAAGAACAAAGAATACAGCCTTCAATAGGGATTGCATCTCAACATCAAGAAAACAAAAACTCTTTCCCTGGATCTATAGGTAACATCATGATAGATGGAGAAAAGATTAAAAGCTGTTTACAACTTCATCTTGCTTTGATCCAAAATAACATACTTGGTACCAGGAGTCAGGAAATCCAAGAGATGTATTGGGAAAGTCTGCAGTCAGAGAGCTCTCCAAATTATTAAGGAACGATGATGTCAGTTTCAGGACTAAGGTGCATCTGATTCAGGCCATGTCTTTCCAATCACTTACTAAGCATCTGAGAGATAGACAACAAATAAAGATGACAGAAGAACTGATGCCTTTAAGCTGTGGTGTTGGAGAAAAGTATGGACTATCCCGTGGACTGTCAAAAGAACAATTACATCTTAGAGAATGTGCAGCCAAAGTGTTCCTTGGAGGCAAAGATGATGAAGCTTTGTCTAACATCTTTTGGGCATATTGCCAGGAGAGGCTATTCCTTGGAGAATCACATTAGGAAAGGTGAAGGGTCAGTGAAAGAGACGAAGAACCTCAACTAGATAGACTGACAGTGTTATCGCTGCAATGGACTCAAGTGTGTTAGATACTGTGAGGACGGCACAGGATACAAGGTTCAGATCTGTTGTTTATAGGGTTACTATGGGTCTTACTCAATTTGATGGCACCTAACAACAACTGAAGTCTGGGATGACTTTTGTTATTACTCTAATTGGTACTATGAACAAATTGCTGTCTTGTTTACAAATACTAAACTTTGGTTCATCTAACTCGTTATTAGAATGAATCTTTTATTTACAGTTAGTTGTAGCACCTTATGTCTTAGCTTGGAAGTTCTGCTGAAACATGTCCACAATAGGTGACCCTGCTATTCGGAATACCGGTGGCTTAGCATCATAGCAACACACAAGCTACAGCAATACAACAAGCTGACAGACACGTGGTCCTTCAACAAGATGGAATGACACCATGACTGTAGCAATAGAGTTAAGCATTACAGAAATTACGCGCTCAGCATAGGATCAGGGAGGGTTTCATTATGTTGTATACAGGTCACTATGAGTCAGAGGCAACTCAACAGCACCTAACAATAACAGATCTCTTCCAAGATGATTAAAATCTTACATTAGTGACTATGCTCCATTAATCTATGGGAAGCTCATATGACAAAAACAGTTCTAATCTCTTGTGCAAAGCTTAAGGAAGGAATGAGCTCACATGCTTTTAGGTCTGCTTCGCTTTCCATGTGGATTCCAGAACAAAAACAGGTAAAATATAAAACACGTACTTTATGACTGTGAAGTAAAGAACCTTGAATTATCTTCACTAACTTTATACTAAGTTTTCAAATCCACAGAGTTCTAGACTGTGCGAATGAAGAAATAAACTTGACACAATCATTGTTTCAAACCCAATTCTAAAGGAGTTGCAAATGCTGATTACATGAGGTCTTGGAGAACGGCTCTTCATAAATGTGCTACAAGAAAAAACATGCTTTGTAATGAGTTATAAAAAGGAAAATGCTGGGTTTTGTAGACTGTTTGGTGTACTTCTGGTTGTTTCTCTTAAATAAAGTAGAAAACAACAATGTTATAGTCCTTTGGTTTTATTTTCTGAGCTAAAAAGTATAGGCATAATTGTTTCAAATGGTCCTCTTGATGATGTCCTTTAAAATAACTTGACAAATGGCTTACTTCATGTCTCTTGATTATAGTATTAAATGTCACTATCAGTGATTAACTGGTTGAAAATTGTAGAGCAGATTAAGTAGCATTTGTGAATATTTCTCAATCCCTGAGAATCATAATCATCTTAGAAAGATGCTATCCTTTCATCATAAGTCTCTGGAAAGTAGTCGAGTTCGTTCATTGTTAACTGGGCAAGGGACAGTGTCATAGAGTGTTAATCCTTGCAAATTGGCTTCCACTCGCAAAGAAATTTTCTGCAACAGAAAAGAAAATTACATATAGAAGCTTGCTCCTTGATGACTGATCACATCTTCACTGTGCTCTATAAACTATCTTTTGTATTTTGGAATGTAAATAAATTCTAACAGGAAACATTTAGACAGCTATAGTACTGGCTAAGTATCCTTTCCAGTACCAATTAGTCTAAGAATGCTCTTTTTGATTTAAAAAAAAATCCTTGGTTCCCAAGAATTAGGAAATAATAAATGTTGATTACAGTGATGGGGGAAAAAATCTATATTTTTTCAAATTCATCTGTCCTACAATGCTATCTTTAAGAAAGATCTTTGCTAGTAACATTATTTTTTTCAAAACAGAAGCAATTCACGTGGGAAAGTATTTTTCTGTAATCACTGCTCATGGTGCCAGATTTTTAAAAAATGAACTGCAAATGCTGGAGAAAGGCTACAGATTTGCTTATGAAAAAATATGCTACACCTGAAGATTTGACTCTGCATAAATCTAATTCTGAGTTTTCTTACCTGAAAATCACGAATATAAGTCAGGAAAAAGCCAAAGAAAGAAAATGACATGGACCATTCAGCTGCAGTAGTGATCAAGTGAAGTGCATAACCCTTGGGTGATGAAAGAAAAATAATTATTCTTTATAATTTCATTGACATGATCTGTAATTTCTTACAAATAAAAATATTAAAAATTCTAATATACCACTGTGCCTTATAAAAAATCAACCCTTTATTACTCATTATATTTCAGTAATTAGAAGAAAGACAAAAGGATTAGCCTCCTAAGTAATACTAGTTTTTACTAAAAAAACTGTTTCGTTTAGAGTATATAAAATTTCCACTTGAGTAAGAGGAAACAGGAAAATTCATAGTCTAAAACCAAGGAGCTATCACTTTTCCTAAAGTCACAATATTTTAAGATGCTTTTAAGAATTTACACATAGGTTTTCAAGGTGCTGGAGAGCAATGGTGTCACTCTAGAGACTAAGGTGTGCCTGGTACAGGCCACGGTCTTTGCAATCAGTTGTTATGTGTCAGAGAGTTGGACAATGACTAGGGAGGATAGAAAGAGAATTGATGCCTTTGAGCTGTGGTGCTGGAAAAGGTTATTGAGGGTACCATGGACTGCTAAGAAAACAAACAGGTTTAGCCTGGAGAGGGTGAAACCGTGCTGCTCCTTGGAGGCAAGGATTCTGAGGCTTCATCTGACATACTTTGGACATGTTGCAAGGAGGGACCAGTCCTTGGAGAGAGACATCATGCTTGGGAGTGTGGAAGAACAGTGCAGGAGGGGAAACCCTCTATGAGATGGATTGATTCAGTGACTGGGGTAAGTGGGGTGGGTGTGTCAGAGACAGTGAGATTGGCACAGGATAGAGCAGGGTTTAGGGCTGTTGTACATAGGGTTGCTATGGTTGCAAGGAGCTCAACAGCACATAACAACAATTAAGAATTTAAGTAAATCATGTTCATCATAAGCTTAGTAACTGTAACTTTCAGAATATTAAATAATACATGGATTTTTAATTAGAAGATCTAGTAGATTATTTCATTTATTCATACTCACAAACATAGCCTATTCAGGGCAAGGTCTTAAAAGAGGATTTAAAACAGAATGTCATTGAGTAGTTCATGGTAACAGATGAACTTGCTTTAGTTGACTATCTGTCCCTCCTCTTCATTCTCAAGTTCTAAGATGGCTACAACTCTACTACAATGGAAATTAAATGTAGTCTTTATAAACCTCTAAAAGGCAAAAAAGTAATGGAGGACAAAAACCTCTTTTCAAGCTAGAAAATGAAGATTGTAATAACAAAAGGTCTCAACTTGGGATATAATATAATATATCCATATTTTTTTGTTGTTGTACACCATTGAGTCAAACTGATCAACAGTGGAACCTCCAGTGGGTTTTCAGAGGTAGTTCATCACATGGGAGGAGACCACCATCTTTCTCCTGTGGAGCCTCTGGTAGATTCAAACTGCGTGCCTTTGGGATTGCAGCACAGCTTCTTACCAACAGGCCACCAAAGCTCCTAGCCACATTTACAGAAGCCAATACCTGAGAACATTTTTGCTTATCACATTCTTTCATGACTTCTGGATACCCAGTGATAACAGGAGAATATGAATGGTTCTTCATAAACTTTATCAAGGTTAGAAAATTATTCTCGTATAAATGTAAAATTCTACTGAAAAAGTTTCATTGCTTGTTGGAAATGAAAAAGACATAAAAATCCACAGAAATAGGCATTTTTAACATAAAAATAAGTTTTTGAGACAGTAAATTCTTACTCTGTCCTCAGGGTTCCAATGGAGTTTCTGTATTACATCACTGCCAAAATTACCAGAGTACAGGAGTGATGAGCAAGTCAGCACTATTAAGAAATAAGTCAAGGAAAAAAAGACCTCTGAAGTAAACGGTAAATTTAAATTAGATTCAAGGAAATATTACTTTAAAAGTTTAAAATGATTACTCAGACATTAATTGCAAAGGGCCAAACCAATTTTCTCAAATACTTAATATGATAAGCAGTTATAGAATTAAAAATATACACAGAAGAGCACTATAAAATATTTCTCATAGTCAATTTCCTCATCTTTGCTCAATAAATTAGTAATTCTTCTACAACCTCTTGGAGATAATTGTTCTCAGATAGGGGATTACTTCACTTTTCATTTCTTTCAAGTGTGCACATTCAGGCTGAATACTGATGAGTACTTCTTGCTCAGTTACTAAGGTTCTAAGTACAATATGAAACAGGTATTTCCATATTTAACTTAGGATTACTAACCCAAGGATCTCTCTCACAAAAGTTCCTTGAAATCTGGCAAGAGCACTCATTTCAAATTTGTTCTTCCATTTCCCACCATGTTACAGGAAAGGATACTGCTAAGTGCACTTACTACACACCAGATAACCAGCAGTAGTCTGATCCAGAAGACTTGTTTGCCATGAATTCTAGGTTGCATGTGGTAGGAAAGGATAGTCTGAACAAACATATACAATGAGCCCAGTCCAAAGGTGAGGATCGCTCCACCTACATGTACAACAAAAAGGGCTGTTTTCTGAGAGAGAGAAGAGAGAAAGACATTAAACACACTTGGCAACACAAGGTTTAAAAGCATTAAGTTAGATTTTAGGGGAATACTCATTGAGTGACGATGTTCCATAGATTCTACAAACAAACCCTTTTCTGAAATCATTTTCTGTAACAAGACAGTATGAATCTGTAATAAAACCAAATTATTTCATATGCCATTATTGAAAATATGAAAACAATTTACTCTTTTCCTCATTTAGTAGTACATTTAATGGGGCCTATTATGTCCAGGTACTATTCTAAGTCAACAGATAGAAATACAGACAAAAATCTCAGCCTGATTGGAATTTACTCTTGTAAGGTAATATAAAAAAATAAATAAATTACATAGCATGCCAAAAGTTATAGAACATGAAAAGTTCAAGATACGAATTAGCCTGCTTTCAAAGTACTGAGAGAAAGTACAATGTAAATTTAAAGACTCAACAAAATAAATGTCTCTCTTTGGCTTTAGCTTGACAGATTCTTGAGATATTACACAACAAAGGATTGCCATAAATTACATATTTTTTCTCCTTTACATTCACATTGTACTTTCTAATATTAGATATAGTTTCTGCTTGTAAATGACAAAATGTTCTACAAATAAAGGGTTTTTACTGAATCACTGCATATCACTTGGTTGAGAAGGTACAGAATAGCTCTTAGCACAGAGTTCTCAATGACGAAGGCAGTCACACATGGCTAGACAATTTCTACTTCACAGTCAGCTGTGCTAATTTACAAACATTGCTGGTTCTGAGTCCAATCTTTTTTTTTCCCTTCATGGTTATATGGCATTTCTTGAATATAGTAAAAAAGAACACAATTTATATTCCAGTGGTATTAGTTTCCTTTTGGAGAGAGAATGGACTATTTCTGTATGGTTTGGGATACAGCAATTGGCAACAGCAAAGAGTGCTGGTGAGTCAGAGCCCTGGGGTAAACTGGTTGGAGCACTCAACAACTAGCCTAAAGGTCAGTGATTCAAATGAGCTCACTAGCCAGAAGCGAAAGAAAGAGGTGGCAGTGTGCTTCTTTAAAGATAACAGCCTTGAAAATTCTATGGGGCAGTTCCCTTTTCCTATGTAGGATGGCTATGAGTCTTTAAGTTTGGCAATATCTTATAACTACTGGAATGGAGAAAAGCCCATGTTACTATGGACAATGAAAAGATAATATTCAGCATCCATATCTAACACAAAATTATAATATCTCCTTGATTCATTATTGTGTGAATTTATCTATGCACACAATCAGAGAGACAGAGGCACAAACAACTGTTTTAATGTTAAGAAGAGAGGACATGGAAGACTCTCCATAGAAGTATTTTTATACTGACAGAGTTAAGTACAGTCTGATCAATTCCTACTTGTGGCCAATACAGAGGTCCATCAACAAAATCCTAGATTAGAAAGCAAAAATTAAGATGGGAGAGAGGGCTTTTACTATTTTTAACTGAAACAGGGGTACTAAAAACAAATAAACACATCTACTCATTCTCCTGGAGTCAGAACCAACTCACAGATGAACTTCCATTGGTTTCTAAGGCTGTAAACTGCCTGAGAGGAGATTACTCATCATTTTCCTGAGGAGCTTCTAGTGGCTTTGAACTGCCTGAGAGGGGCAGCCTCTGTCTTAGAAGCACAACTACCCATGCATTAGGACAACAGAGCACCCTAAGAAACTGCTGTAAGGATAAGAATTTACTGGATTGTGTAACTAAGCATTAATTACTAGTGGAAGTAGGTCATTAATGAAAAAGAAGACCCTCAATGAGATGGACTGATAGAGGTGCTAGAAGAGTGAGCTCCAACACTGCAATGCTTGTGGGTACGGCAAAATACTGGGCAGTGTGTCATCTGTGGTACCAAGGGTCGCTATGAGGCAAAAACAACTTGACAGTACCCACCAATAACAAACGATAGTAGTATGGAAAGTCCCATCTCTGTTGATGCTCTGGTTAACTGCCAAGTGAAAGACTGGCAATTTGAACTCACTAGCTTTGGTGATCTACCAACAGGAGTTGTGCTGCCAACTCAATACTGGAAAACGCCCAATAGTGCACTTCCTAGTCCAGCTAGCAGTTATCAAAGAATGTCAGTACAATGTATAACACTTCCAGTTCCAGGCTTTTTTAAAGAAGAAGGCATGCTTTCTGCATGCTCTCTTTTATAGTTTCAGTCAGCTAGTTGCAAAAGCCAAGGTCTTAAAATATTACAAACACCAAAGGTAGAAAAGGCTTAGTCCTTAAATCATTGTGGGAGGAAAGTCACCTACTCATCAAATAAACACCCTCAGTGAACTCATCTAAGAGAAACTGGTGTTAAGCAACTGAGATTTGGGACTTGATTTATGGCAGCAGTCTGCACTACTATAATTAAAATCTACTTATCCTCTTCTTACAGACTTCTAGTTTTAACCATTTAACTCTGGTTGCTTAATGCTAAGAATTTGTGCTGCCAACCCAAAGGCAAGTGGTTGGAAGCAACCAGTTGCTCCACAGGAAAAAGATGGACAATCTCCCATGTGTGATTTACTGCCTCAACTCGCTGAATGGTCAGCTATAATTCAATTCTGATGTGACAGTCATAACAGCAAAACCATTACTGGAAAGTTATGAAAAGCAGGAAAAACTGGAATCACTATAGAGACAGACATAGATCTAGATGTGTGTATTTGCATGGTGTGTATACTGTTTGTCATTATGTATGTAAGTGTGTATCAGAGGTCTAAAAATGTTATTAAAGAAATATCTAAATTGAAACTTTAAAAGTTTCACAGTAATTAATTAAAACTCATCTTATACCAGGACGCAGCCGTAAATGGCAGAAATTCACATAAAGAATGCCAAAAGCAAGCAGAGAATCTGCAACTACAGTGAAACCTATCAGTAGGACTGTCTTTTCAGGGTCTCAAAAGACTTCCCCCTTTGACAGAAAGCACTTTTACTACTTTTCTATTGCTCACTTTTGTGGAAAACGATTTGAGTTTTCCTTCTGTCAGGTTTCTATCTTATGTAGGATCCACCTTTCAGACAGGTTTTACTGTACTTGGAAAAGATGGACTACTTTACTCCCAAGAACTACTTGAAGAAAAGGGGAATTGCAATTTTTTCCCCTTTCTCTTTATTTCTTCATTTCTGGGCCAGGCACTGAGAAATAACAACCAATGGTAATATTCAAATGTTTACAAGGAGTATGTGTTACTTGCTAAACAGATTTTTTCTTTAAAAAAGGTAAAAATAGAAAACATCCCAAAAATGTTTAAATTAGCAATCATATAACTGATTACAAAGCCCTGGCAGTGAAGCACTAAGCTTCTGATAGAAATGCATACAGTTCAAACCACCAGTTACTCCAAAGAGAAATATGAAGCCATTTACTTCCATAAAGATTTACAGCTTCAAATCCTCTGGGGCAATTAATTCTGCTTTGTCAGAGAGTGTTGCTATGAGTCTTGAGAACTGATGCGATGGCTGTGGGTTTACTTTTGGTTTATCACCTATGTTCAGAATCAATTCTCCCTGTCTGGCCCTGCAGTAATCCCCAAGTGAGTTTAACAACTGACCTGTGGATCGTAGGAAAAAAAATTTATAGTTGTTCAACAGATTATTATGAAGAACATCTTTTTCTAATTATGAATGTGGTTATTCTTTAAAACGGTCAAGTAATTTAAAGGGAATGGTTTCTGTTTTGTTAAGGGAAGAAAACAACAGCAGTATGGAATGGGATTTTTTTCCCCCCATAGTCTTTTAAAGTAAGTATGTTTATATGCTTCAGGAAAATATCTATGTTGAACTAAAACACAAACCTGGAAGTTTGCCACAATAGAAAGTCCTAAACAACTCAGTAATCCAAATACAAGGCCGGTTTTATTTAATCTGGTGATGCGATTTTCTTCAGGATTCAGAGCATGAACTTGCTTATAACGAACATAAATGGTAGCAACGGCTGGAAGAGATAATCAGAAAAACAACAAAGTAACAACCAAGAACAATGTTGCCAAGAAAAGGTTCACAGAGGTAAAAAATTTCAGGAAATACTGATTTTTTTTTTCCTTTGAAAACTAAACTCAGAGAGAAAAAGAGTGGTTTTAAAGGCTGAAAAAACGTTTAAGGTTATAATTGAGTACCTACTGTCATCACTGATGTCTAAGCAAGTTACTCAAATAATTTTAACAAATATATAGGATAAAACTTAAGAAATAAACTTGATTTTTTTTCTGAAGATTTCTAATATGTAGTATGTGAAACAAAAAATACTCTGCAGTTATGCTTCGTTTTAACATGCTCTGCAGTACTACATTTTTTACAGATTGAAGGTTTACGGCAACTTTGAGTAGAATTCTATTGGCAGAATTCTATTCATTTTTTCCCAACACTACGTGTTCAATTCACTTTGCTAATTCTCACAATATTCCAAACACAGACTACAATGTAGTGTAAACATTAATTTTTATATGCATGGGAAACCACAAGATTTGTGCGACTGGCTTTATTGTGATACCTGCTTTATTGTCATAGTCTGGAAGAGAAGCTGCAATCTCTAAGGTATGCCTGTATATGATTATTACCAGTCAAAGGCAATTATGTAGTTTTAGTATATGGATAAAGTAGTCATAGGCAAAAGAGAAATAGCTCAAAAGATTATTTCTTTCACTTTCAGATCATTCGCTTTCAAATTTACAACTTGGCTCAATCAGACATAGTAAGCAATCACTAGAGGGAAAAGTTCACTTAGTCACGAAAGGGTCAAATGGAACATTCCATTGTAGAAATAATGCTAAAAACTCAGCAGTGCAGAAAACATAATAAAGATTTCTTTTACCAAGTAGACATGTTCGTGAAAAGCTGTGTTATAAGACAAAATTTCTGTAATCATTTTCCTAACATGTAATCATTTTCCTAACATGTAATCATTTTCCTAACATCTACTTTTGACTCAAGCTAATAACAGGAAAAAATATCTTAATAAACCATAAATAAAAATAGATCAAAATACAAATGCTAAAGAATAATAAAAACTATGATCATAGGAAAGTACTGAAGAGCAATGGTGTCTCTCTGGAGACTAAGGTGCGTCTGATACAGGCCATGATCTTCGCAATCACTTGTTATGCATCAGAGAGTTGGACAATGACCAAGGAGGACAGAAGGAGAATTGATGCCTTTGAGCTGTGGTGCTGGAGAAGAGTACTGAGAATACCATGGACTGCTAGGAAAACAAACAGATTTGTCCTGGAAAGGGTTAAACTGGGTGGCTCCTTGGAGGCAAGGATTCTGAGGCTCCGTCTAACATACTTTGGACATATTGTGAGGAGAGACCGGTCCTTGGAGAAAGACATCATGCTTGGTAGGGTGGAGGGACAGCGCAGCAGAGGAAGGCCCTCTATGAGGTGGATTGATTCAGTGACTGGGATAATTGGGATGGGAGTATCAGAGACAGTGCGATTGGCACAGGACAGAGCAGAGTTTAGGGCTGTTGTACATAGGGTCGCTATGAGTCACAAGCGACTCGACGGCACATAACAACAACAAACAACAATGGACTCCCTATATCACCTGAAAACAAATCATGCTTTTATTTCCAATCTTCTAAATGGTTTACACCAAAAGAATTTAGTTGAGGTGAGTTGTGGTCAGTTGCATTTACAACTTCCGCCCCCCTCCACCACTGGTTGCTTAAAAAGTTCATGGAAGGCTTCAATAAATATTTGCTTACACAAACATATCTGTGGTAAATTTTATTCTAGACTACCAAAAAAGAGTAGGTACTACAATAAAGCAAGCCATGTGTTTGTGGGTTTTTTTGTGTTTCCCAATACATTTATTTGTATTGAAAATGTGTTTAAAGTATAATGAAATCTATTCAATGTTAAAAAGCACGATGAAAATGTTTGAAACATTTTGAGAATCACCCAATTCTGATAAAGCATGAGAAATAAGCACATGCTCTTGAAAAAATGACAGTGATAGAATTTGCTTGAACCAATGGTGTCACAAAACATCAATTTGTAAAAAATGTAGTATCTGTGAAGAACAATAAAGTAAAACACAATAAACAAAGTTTGTCTATACTGTTTAGCTGCCTGGCTGAATAGTCAAGCAGGTTTATAGATATTTTTTAAAAGATAAATTTCCTATAATTTCTAGAAAATGTTTGAATTTTTAAAAAGTAGTCTAGCTATGATTAGTAATTTTTATATTCCATCAAGTATAACTAAAAAAGATGTAATATTCTTTTAAAAAATTAAAATGGTAATTTAGCTATTATTTTTGATCCTTAAAATTACTCTCATTACTTACATAAAACTGAAGTGACATTTAACATTACTCCAAACAAGCATTTTTCTGGAGCTATTGTACCAGTGTCACTGGGGGGAAAAAAAGAAAAGAAATGAGAATTTCTTCCATAAAGATAGACATGTGTATTGCTTCTAAGAAATAAGAAGTAAAAAGAATTACTTTGAATTCTATGTTATGAGGGTTTAACTTATTTTAAGAGAAAATGAAAACTGTTGCTCACAGATATTTGCCTACTTTCTTTCCACATCACATTATTCCTTTTGCATATAGTAGAAATCAATATAAATTGATAAACAAAAAAAGCTACTCTTGGCATGTTAAGATTATGTTATCAATCTACCATCATCAGTCAGTCATGCAACCAGGATACACTAATAAGAATGAGTGACTGGAATGCAAAAATTGGAAAAGGAGAAAGATCAGTAGTAGTAAGGAAACACAAGCTTGGTGACAGAAATGAGGCTGGAGAAAAAAACGATAGAATTTTGTATTGTTCTTGTTATGTGCTGTCGAGTTGACTCTGACTCATAGTGACCCTATGTACAACAGCTCTGAACCCTGCTCTATCCTGAGCCAAATTCACTGTCTCTGACACACCTACCGCTATGAGCCCAGTCATTGGGTCAATCCATTTTGTTCAGGGTCTTCATCTCTTGCGCTGTCCCTCCACCCTCCCAAACATGATATCTTGCTCTAAATATTGGCCCCTTCTGGCAACATGCCTAAAGTATGTCTGCTGGAGCTTCAAAATCCTTACCTCCAAGGAGCATCCTGGTTTTACCCACTACAAGACAGACCTATTTGGTCTCTTAGCAGTCTACAGTACATTCAATACTCAGTCAATGATTTATTCATTGCAAATACTTCTTATAAGAAACATAAACAGCAACTATACACATGGACCTCACATGATGGTCGGTGAAGGAATCAGACTGACGATACATGTGAAAAGAATTGTTGGAGAAGCTCAATAGCAGCTGTGAAAACTAAGCCAGGTGCTGATCATGGATCAGACCACCAATTACTCATCTTCAAGTTCTGGGCCAGGTGCTGACAGTGAAACAGACCACCCTCACGCACTCACACAAGTTCAAGCGAAAGTTGAAAAGATAAAATCAAATTCACAGGAACAAAAATTTGACCTTAAGCCTATGCCACTTGAATTTCAAAACCATCTCAGGTACAAGTTTGAGGCTTTGAACATCAATGAGCAAAGACCAAACTAGCTGTGGGAGGATATCAAGAATACCGTCCATGAAGAATGCAAAAGATCATTATAAAGCCAGAGGAGTAAGAAAAGACCCACATGGATGTCAGATGAGACTCTGATATTACACTAGAGTGCAGAGAAGCCACAGCAAAGGGAAGAAAGCAAGAAATTAAGGAGCTGAATAGAATATTTGGAAGGGCAGCTCAGGAAGACAAAGTGTTATAAAGAAATGTGCAAAAAGCTGGAACTAGAAAAACAAAAGGACCAACTTGCTCAGCATTTCTTAAACCGAAGTAACTGAAGAACAAATTTGAGCCATGAGTGGCAATACTTAAGGATGCTTTGGGCAGAATATGAAATGATCCAAGAAGCACTACGAGAACACAGAAGGAGTATACAGAGTCACTGTACCAAAAAAGAACCGGCTAACATAGAAGAATTTAATGAAATAACTTATGAGAAAGAGTCTGTAGTGATGAAAGAAATTCAAGCTTCTCTGAAAGAATTAGCAAGAAACAAGGCCCTTGGAATGAATGGATATCAACTGATACTTTTCAACAAACAAGACGCTGCCCTGGATGCACTAAGTTGTGCCAAGAAATCTGGAGGAAAACCACCTGGCCAAATGACTGGAAGAGATCTGTATTTGTTCCCATTCCAAAGAAGGTGATATGACAGTTGTTGTTATTGTTGTTGTTGTTATGTGCCGTCGAGTCGCCTGCGACTCATAGCGACCCTATGTACAACAGCCCTAAACTCCACTCTGTCCTGTGCCAATCGCACTGTCTCTGACACTCCCATCCCAATTATCCCAGTCACTGAATCAATCCACCTCATAGAGGGCAGAGTGCAGAAATTATTAAATGATATCACACACACAAGCAAGATCCAGCTGAAGATCATCCAAAAATGACTGGAACAGCACATCAACATAGAACCAACAGAAACATAAGCTGGGTTTAGAAGAGGCTGTAGCATTAGGGATATCATCACAAATGTCAGATGGATCTTGGCTGAAAGCAGAGAGTACAGAGGAATGTCTATGTTTCATTGACTACAAAGACTGTGTGGATCACAACAAATTGTGGCTAACCTTGAAAAGAATGGGAATCCCAAAACATCTGATTGTGCTCCTGTAAAACCTATACTTAGCCCAGGAAGCAGTCTTCAGAACAGAGTAAGAAAACACTGTATGGCTCAAAATCAGGAAAGGAGTGCATCAGGCTTGCATCTTGTCTCCATACCTTTTCAATATAAATTATGCAGAACAGATCATTTGAAAGGTTGGACTTAATAAAGAAGAATGTGGCAACAGGTTTAGAGAAAACTCATCAACAACTTGCAATATGCGGATGACAGAACCTTGCTGAGGGCCTGAAGCATTTGCTGCAGAGGGTCAAAAACTGTAGTCTCAGGGGAGCTCTGGTGGCCTAGTGGCAAGGAGCTGTACCTACAATCCCAGAGGTGCACAGTTCAAATCCACCAGATGCTCTGCTCTGCCAGGGAAGGAGGGGCAGTCTCCTCCTGTACCAGTCAGATCCGATTTGACGGTACACTCACACAAAAATAAAAATTTTAAAAAAAAAAAGTCTGGGTGCTTAAAATTTAAAAAAAAAAACAAAACAACAAAACTGTAGTCTCCAATATGGACTGAAACTCAACATCAAGAAAGGAAAGATCTCACCATTGGGCCAATTGGCAGCATCAAGATAGATGGAGAAGAGATTAACGATTTCAATTTGCTTGGTTTCACAATCAACAGTCTTGGCACCAGCAGTCAGGAAATGAAAAGACAAAATGTATTAAGAAAATCTCTGTCAGGGACCTCTCCAGAGCCTTAAAGAGCAATGGTGTCAGTCTCAAGACTAAAGTGTGTCTGACCCAGGCCATGGTCTTCACAATTACTTGTTATGCATCAGAGAGCTGGATAATGACCAAAGAATACAGAACAAGAATTGATGCCTTTGAGCTCTGGTGCTGAAGAAGAGTCTTGAACATAAATACCATGGACCACCAAAACCAGTAGGTATGTCTTGGAGAAGGTGAAATCAAGTTTCTCCTTGGAGGCTGGAATTTTGAAGCTCCATCTCACATACTTTGGGCACATGACCAGGAGGGACCAATCCTTGGAGAAGGACATTATGCTCAGATGGGTGGAGGGACAGTGCAGGAGAGGAAGACCCTGGATGAGATGGATTGATACAGTAACTGGGGCAATGGGAGTAGGTGTGTCGGTGTCCATGAGACTGGCTCAGAACAGGACAGGCTTCAGAGCTGTTGTATATAGAGTCACTATGAGTTGTAGGCAACTCAACAACATGTAACAAAAACAACATATATAAAATATTATATTCCCATCCCATATGTTAAATAAATGTTGTTCATTGATATCAAGTTGGAACCAACTCTCAGCTGACCCTCCATTGGGTTTTCAAGGGTAGTAAATCACATGGGAATAGACTGCCTATCTTTCTCCCATGGAGCAGCTTGTGGATTTGACTCGTATGCTTTTGGGTGGGCAGTGCAGCACCTCACCACTAGCCCACCATTTTTAAATATTTTTTTTCAATTAGAAAGCACATAAAAAGTTATTAGTATTTTCTTCTTGAAACCTAGCAGACACCTCACAGGAGCATCCTGGTGTAGTAGATTTGTCTTTGAAGTAAAAATTACATTTGCATCTTTTAGGATGTAACAATGAAAGTCTTCTGGAAAGTCTAGTAACTGAAGAGGAACTGTGTCTATAATCCAATCATTGTGCCAGTAAGACGTTCCTAAAGGTAGTCAAAATGCCACGTGCCACTAATCATCTTTATCTGAGCAGTTTGTAGACACAGTAAATCACACCAAAGAGACAAAATGCTCATGTGGAGATAATTAGAATCACAGTATTTTCAGCAGATACTCTAACAATTGAGCTTACTGAACCAGCAATAAGGAAAGAAAAAAAAAAACCCAACTTCCCACATGTAAGTGGAGCCACAAAGTTCACGGAGAAAGGATGTTTCAATAGCATCATAAAGAAGCGGAATACTTTAAGAGGACCTAAAAGGTGAGGAAAAATGGAGTTGCTTTCATAGTTAAGAAAGCCATTGCTAGATCCATCTTGAAGTATAATATTGTGAGTGACAGGATGATATCCATATGCATACAAGGAAGGCCAGTGAATACCACTATCATTCAGATATATGCACCATCAACCAGAGCAAAGGAAGAGGATATAGAAGATTTTTACCAACTTTTACAGTTAGAGATAGATTGAACATGCAATCAAGATGCATTGATAATAATGGGTGACTGGAATGCAAAAGTTGGGAATAAAGAAGATTCAGTAGTTGGAAAACATAGACTCGGTGACAGAAATGGAGCTGGAGAGAGGATGACTGAATTTTGCACAATGACTTATTCATTGCAAATACATTTTTTAAGAGACATAAATTCGGTTATAAACATGGACTTCACCTGATGGTATGCATAGGAATCAGATTGATTACATCTGAGGAAAGAACCGCTGGGGAAGCTCAATATGAAAACTAGGCCAGGAGCTGATTGTGGAACAGACCACCAACCTCTCATATGCAAGTTCAAGCTGAAACTGAGGAAAATTAAACCTAGTCCACGGGAACCAAATTATGACTTTGAGTCTATTCCACCTGAATTTCAGAACCATCTCAGGAACAGGTTTGAGGCCTTGAACACTAATGAGCGAAGACCAGATGAGTTGTGGGAGGATATCAAGGGTATCATCCAAGAAGAGTGTAAACGTTCATTACAAAGACAGAAGAGGAAGAAAAGACCAAAATGGATGTTAGAAGAGACTCTGAAAATTGCACTGGAGTGCAGAAAAGCCAAAGCAGAGGGAAGAATTCAAGATACTAAAGAGTTGAATAGAAGATTTCAAAAGGCAGCACAGGACGACAAAGTAAAATATTACAATGAAATGTGTAAGGAGTTGGAGTCAGAAAATCAAAAGGGCCAAACTCACTCAGCATTTCTTAAGCTCAAGGAACTGAAGAACAAATACCAACCTCGAGTTGCCATAATCAAGGATGCTTTAGGCAGAATATTAAATGATCCAGGAAGTATTAAAAGAAGATGGAAAGAATATACTGAGTCATCGTATCAAAAGGAATTGGCAGACACAGAAGAATTTCATGAAACAAGAGCCTATGGTGATGAAGGAAGAAGTTCAAGCTGCTTTGAAGGAAATAGCAAAAAATAAGGCCCCCGGAATAGATGGTATACCAATTGACATATTTCAGCTAACAGATGCTGCCCTGAATGTGCTCACCAAGTTGTGCCAAGAAATCTGGAGAACAACCACCTGGCCAACTGACTGGAAGAGATAGATCTACATTTGTTCCCATCCCAAAGAAAGGTGACCCAACCGAGTGTGGAAACTACAGAACCATCTCAATGATTTCACATGCAAGCAAAATTGTACTAAAGATTATCCAAAAACGACTGAAACAACACATCAGGAGAGAACTGCCAGAAGTCCAGGCTGGGTTTAGAAGGCATCATGGTACTAGGGATACTGTAGCTAATGTTAGATGGATCTTAGCCGAAAGCAGGGAGTACCAGAGGAATGTCTATCTGTGTTTCATTGACTAAGCAAAGGTGTTTGACTGTGTGGATCATAACAAACTGTGGCTGACTCTGAGAAAAATGGGAATCCCAGAACACTTGATCGTGCTAATGCAAAACTTATACTTGAACCAAGAGGCAGTCGTCACAACAGAGCAAGGAAACACTGCATGGTTCAAAATTGGGAAGGGTGTATGCCAGGGATGTGTCCTGTCTCCATACCTTTTCAACCTGTATGCAAAACAGATTATCCAGGAGGCTGGGCTCTATGAGGAGAAATGCGGGTCAAGATTGGTGGATACAACCCTGCTTGCTGAAACTGAAGAGGACCTGAAGAGCTTGCTGCAGAGAGTCAAGGACTGCAGCCTCCATTATGGATTGAGGCTGTCAAGAAGACAAAGATTCTCACCACTGGACCAATTGGCAGCATCAGGATGGATGGTGAAGAGATTGAGACTGTTCACAGCTTCAGTTTGCTTGGCTCCACAGTCAACACTCTCGGCACCAGCAGCCAGGAATTAGAAGACATATTGCCATGGGAAGTCTGCTGTTAGGGACCTCTCCAAAGTACTGAAGAGCAATGGTGTCTCTTTGGAGACTAAGGTGTGTCTGATACAGGCCATGGTTTTTTGTTTTTTTTCTTTTTTTTTTAGGCCATGGTTTTTGCTATCACTTCTTATGCATCAAAGAGTTGGACAATGATCAAGGAGGATAGAAGAATTGATACCTTTGACCTGTGGTGCTGGAGAAGAGTATTGAGGGTACCATGGACTGCTAGGAAAACAAACAGATTCATCCTGGAAAGGAAAGGGTTAAACCAGGCTGCTCCTTAGACGCAAGCATTCTAAGGCTCTAACATACCCTGGACATGCTGCAAGGAGGGACAGGTCCTTGGAGAGGGACATCACGCTTGGTAGGGTGGAAGGACAGTGCAGAAGGGGAAGGCCCCCTATGAGGTAGATTGATTCAGTGACTGGGGTAATCCGGATGGGAGTGTCGGAGACGGTGCTACTGGCACAGGACAGAGCAGAGGTTAGGGATGTTGTACATAGGGTCGCTATGAGTCGCAAGCGACTCGAAGGCACATAACAAACAACAACAGTACTTCAGATAAAATAATTTAGAATAGAACACTGGTAATTTTTAGTCATAATTAATAATTGTAATTTAAAACAATATATTTCAAAATCTCTTCTCCTTAGAAAATTGTTTTAGCTCTTAAAGTTTAAACCTTAGTAATTGCTGAAAGTGTTCATAATGATGCTGATCTCTCATTCTTGTGAGAACATGAATTGATGTAACTAATTTCCATTGCTGTTGTTGATTGCTTTTAAGTCAAGCATGACTCATAGCTACCCTATGAACAAAAGGCCTGGAGCCTATGTCATCATTTATCAAAGTTCAGTTTCCAGAGGCATATTGTTTAGGAAGTGGATGCCTCTCCTGCTTCCAAACCTGTCTTAAACTGGAAGCTCCACCAAAGAACGTCCACCATGGGTAACTGTTATGGCATTTGACACTCCAATGGCATGCGGTTCGGCATCACAGCAGCCCCAGGTTACCTCAGTACCACATATTGACAGAGTGCTGTACTACTTAGAAAAATGTTCCTCCAAAATATAATAACAACCAACTTTAAATATAAAGACTCTTAAATAAAAAATACTGTTGTGGTTGTGAGCTGTCAAGTTGAAACTGACCCACAGGTGTCCATCCAGTGGGTTTTCAGAGGCAGTGAATTGTATGGAAGGAGACTATCCATCACTTTTCTGTGGGTTGCTTTATTATTTATCCAGTAATATTAACTTTATTTCTAGAAGTTTATTCCATATAAATAATAGCACAATTGTACAAAGTTACATATAATGCTACCTTCATCATAGCAGTTTTGTAACAGAAAAAATAAAAACAAGGGATTTTTGTCTATCAACGTAAAGATTAAAAAAAGGTTAAAAATAAAAATAAGGCAAGAGAAAAAGGAAAGGGAAAGGGCATTTTATTGATGCAGGGATCACAAACCAAAACAAACTGGAAGAATACCAAGCAAACCATGAATCATCTTTAGGCAGCAGAAAAATGGAGGAGGTGAAAAGTACTTCACTTTGATACTGCTGACATTTGTTACAATGCACATAAGTTGCTTTTATAAAACTGATGAATTAAGGGAATTATGGACATACAATATGAAACTGAGCAGCCACATTTGCATCATTGGTAATTGTTAAGATTTCAAATAAGCTCCTAATAAGGTATTTTACTGTGTCAGGAAAACCTAAGTAACATATAAGGAATAAAAGCACAGCCACTAAAGTAAAATTATCTAGGTTTGAATCTTGGCTTTCAAAGAAGCAGTCACTGAAAACAGAGCACAGATGTGCTGAGACACACATGGACTGGCCACGAGTCAGCATCACTGTTCAGTGAACGGGTGCTGAGAACCTCTGTGACAATATTTATAAGCTGTGTGTGCTCTTGGAAAGTCCCTGAGTCTCATTTCTACTTCTCTTAAATGATAACCGTTTCTACTTCAAAGTTTTGATGTAAAGGTTCAGTTAATGAAGACATCAAGAATGCTTAGATTATTATCTGACACATAAGGAGATCAATAATTATCATTACCTGTATCTTTTAATACTATTATTAAGATTACTTGCAACACCTATTAACTTTCAGAAGAGAAAAAGTCCAATTATGCATTAGGAGAGAACCTCAAATAATTACTGTAAAGGCAAGGCACTGCACTACAGCATCACAGTTCACTGAATCTTATCCCTCTTTGCTTTTTTCTATTATACAGAAAGAGTCAAATGCATAGACTTTTTAAAATTCCCTTTTAAAAGGGAAATTTTATAATGTCAATGTAAAACCTGAATTTTAAAATACTGAAATTAAATATTGGTTTCTTTGTCAAAATATGAGATTAAAAAATAAGGATTTCCCCATTAACATAATAGATTTCACTCACCTTATATAAGGCAAAGCAGGGTCAACATGATGCAGTGTTATTGCAGTGATATATGAAAAGATGAAAGCAGCAGCAGTCCAAATTACAAGAGCTGAAGGAAGGAAACTGAGGCCTTGCTGAAACCACCACATCTCAAAAAGGTTTTCTGAAGTAGAAAAACCTAGAAAAGACAATGCACAAGAGTTTCTTCTATTCCATTCCAGTCATCCATTCTTACAATGTCGGCAGTTAACACATTGACCTATACTGCACTACTGAAATCATCCCCCACACCATCCTCAACACTGCTCTCCTTTCTTTTCTCAGTAAAATCAGGATTCACCTATTTGTAATAGCCAGAAATATTTTTTGTCTCTTATCTTCCCACATATACCTAAGCATCAAATATTATTCAATCTACCTTTTACATTTCTTCTTCTATGTGTTTCTTCTATCTTCATGATCACTAACATCTCTACACCACCATTACATCTTGGATAGATTAATAACACCTCTAAAACGCTTCTTCCACAATCAGTCTCGACTCCACACTAAAACTAGTGTGGTTGTTGTGTACCATCACTCACAGCTGACCCTGCAGAGGGTTTTCAAGGGCAGTTAATCTCATGGAAGGAGAGTGCCCATCCTTCTCTCATGAAACAGCTCTCGGATTAGAACTGCATGCCTTTGGGATTGTAGTGCAGCTTTTTGCCACTAGGCAAACTAGAGTTGTGCCTCCAAAATACCAACTTGATCACATTGCTCTCCTATGAAGAATCCTTCAATTGTTCCCCTGTGCCCCTACAAGTTATGTTTCCTCCTTAATGTGATCTAAAAGATTGTGGACGTCACCTGATTCTATATAACTTTCTGTATTCCTACTTGGCCATTCCTTATTTGCTTGCAACTCCTTGCTTTAGCAATCCTACCATTATAAAAGCAAACAATTAGTGTTTACTAGCAAAGCATAAGAATGAAATGTGCCAAAAGGTGGAGTCAGAGAATGAAAAGGGAAGAAATGGCATGGCATTTCTCAAGCTGAGAGAACTGAAAAACAAATTCAAGCCTTGAGGTGCAATATGAAGAGATGCCATAGGCAAGATCCTGAATGATCCAAGAAACATTAGAAGAAGTCAGAAAAGACACACAGAATCACTAAAACAAAAAGAGTTAGTCAACACTGAAAAATTTCTGGAAGTACAACATAAACAAGAGCTAATGATAACACTTTCTCTAGAAGTAACTGGCATCTTTGGAACTCACCTGCCTAAGTCTTTGGAAAACTACTGCTACCACATCTGGAGGACCTGATCCCCAAAGTGACTTTCAAGCACTGGCATAGTCCTCAAGAAAATGGACATCACCAAGGACTTCCAAAGGGAACTCACTTGCTCCACCTGCTTGAACTACATGATTGACCTTGTCATCATAGGCCGTGGACACATCTTCTGTAGGTCCTGTGTCCACCTGGCCTGGGAAGAACCCAGAGTTTCCCCTCGTGCAGGAAAATATCAAAGAAAACACATATCAAATCCAGTGGTCTTGTGAAGAAACTGGTATCCCTTGAAAGACAAGCCAGTCTCAGGAAATTCCCAAGTTCAGAGGAACGATGTGTGGGATACACAAGGACACGAAGAAGATCTTCTGTGAAGAGAGCAAGACCCTGCTTTGTTTGCCCTGCTCTGAAACTCAAGAGCATGGAGCGCACAGACATTCTTCCATAGAAAGTGCTATGGAGGAGTGCAGAGTAAGCCAAGCATGCAGGACAGATGGAATTTGTGTGAGAAATTAGTAATTAGTTTAGGAGCCTCGGTGGGGAGTAGTGAGCCTCAGCAGAGAGCAGCGAGCCTCGGCAAAAAACAGCAAGCCTCAGTGGGAAGCAGCAACTCATTGTGGGACCAACCCACTAGAAGCAAGTAGGATAGCAGAAATTTGAGTGAGGTACTTAGGGAAGGGGTCACTGCTGATTGCTGGAACAAATGTTGGACCCTTTTACCTTAAGCAGGAAGGAGACAGCTGGAGCTCAACTGGGGTGGCAGACCCAGTTCTTGAGGGGAACACTAAGGCTTCCTTGTTTTCCATTCAGGTCTCCACACACCTCCTGTGTGGGTCTGCATGTGAATCCCCCATCCCAACCCCCACGTGTGTCTGCGTATGAACCCACACCCACCTACGTGCATCCGCATGTGCATCCCACCCTCCATGCATCCACACACATGCCCACTCTACATACATGAAGAACCGACTATTGCCTCAGGCACAAAAACCTCTACCAAAGCAATGTCACAAAAGAAGCAGACTACCTTACTTCCTACACAAGCCCAAAGAAAGATATCACCTTCAGGATTTCCTGAAGCCAGAAAGTCTAATGGAACTTTCTGACACAGAATTTAAAAGAACAATAATTGAATATTTTCAATGGGTGAAAGACAAACTTGAAAAATTATAGGATACAGCAAGAAAAAACCAGGAGGAGCTTAAAAAAAAATCCAAAACAATGCAGATAAAACAAACGAGGCATTAGAGGCACTGGAAAAATAAAACATGATCTAAAATGTGAGGTCCAATGTTTCAGATGCTGTCAACATGATGGAAGGACACATGAACAGAGTTGAAGAGATGGAACACACAACCAGTGAAATAGAACTGTCACAACTGATCTGCTTGAGCAAAAAGCAGAATCAAAAAGGAAGGAAAAAGAAGAAAACCTAAGAATAAATGTGGAACACTAGCAAGAGAATATGCGCATCACTGGACTTCTAGAACAGGAAGCAGCAAGTAAAGGCACCGAAAAAGTTGTGGAAGAATTACTAGAGGAAAACTTCCCAAGCATAATGAAGAATGACAGAATATATATTCAAGAGGACAAGTGAACACCATATAGAATACACCCCAAAAGAAAAACACCAAGGCATATCATAGTCAAATTTGCCAGAACCAAAGATAAGGAGAAAATTCTGAAATCAGCAAGGGAGAAACAAATAAAACCCTATAAGGAAGTGCATATAAAATTAAGTGCAGGTTTCTCAGTAGAAACCCTGCAAGCAAGACGACAGTGGAATGACATATATCGAACACTCAAAAAACAGAACTGTCAACCAAGACTACTGTACCCAACAAAACTGTCCATCAAATATGAAGGAGAGATCAAGATATTCCCAGAAAAACAGAACCTAAGAGAGTTTGTAAAAACAAGACCAGCATCGCAGGAAACACTGATAGACATCCTTCTTACAGAGGTGCCACAGAAAGCAGGATGAACCAAAGAAACTAGCAACACCATCAAAAAGAACTCAACAAAATGATAGCAATAGTACAGCCAAGCACAATCAATAAGAGTGCATCTGAATTCCAAAATCAATCTCCATAATAGTCTATGTGTTTCCTACTGCCAAAGGGGCCCTTTAGAGTAG